GCTCCTGAAATCTACAGGTTGCTTGGTGTTGCAATACACAAGTCAGAAATCGAAGTATCTTCAGTACATACTCGGCCTATCCCCCGAAAATGAGTCAACTCTAAGTCACTCAACACCAGTCACCGTCTTACAGAGTCACCTAGATCTTGCCGGCTTTGACGGATCTGCATGCACGACATTTTCCGGGGATCATTCCAGCCTTATCATCACAGCGCCTTTCATCGATCGGTTGGAACTTTCCAGTGCAAGTGTCGTCTGTCAAGACCTCAAAAGTGTCGTCGTGGATCAGGCAGCCAAGTACCTTGAAGCGCAGGGATTGGAACTGGAGTTCTTCACTCCCGGCCAAGAGCTTCCCTGGGGTCAGCCTGTCTTGTGTCTCCTGGATCTCGAAGGTCCCTTCTTCCATGACATGACACCGCATCAATGGCAAGATCTCAAGAAGACCCTTTTCTCAGTCCAGGACGAGAAAGTCCTGTGGTTGACTGCCGCATCGCAGTTGGCCTGCAAAGATCCAAGATACTCTCTGACGTTGGGCTTCACGCGGAGTCTTCGCAGAGAGCTGTCGATGGATTTGGTAACTCTCGAGTTGGATCGGTTTGATGCGAATTCATGGAGCGCTACTAGAAGAATACTGGACACTTTTGGCGAGCGCTTCACTGGCGGTGAGGTTGAGCTTGAGTCGGAATATGTCTTCGCTCAAGGGTCACTCCAGATCTGCCGATTTCATCCCATCAGAGTCTTGGAGCAAATGCAACGGCAAACTAAGAGTGCTGAAGAAGAGCTGGAAAAAGTAAAGTCGGAGACCACCGGAAACGCCAGATTGGAGCAGATGAAACGACGTTCCATAGACGAGGTCTTGATCAGGTCCGAAATCGATGCCGTCGGCTTTGACTTTGAGGTAAGCGGCCTCATTAACATTGTACGAAAGCAGAGTTGGCTAACAGCAGAATTAGTTGACCCCGCGTAGTTCGATAGACAGAGAGTCGATTCAGCAAGATGACAATGTCTCGGTGACTCCGCAAGTGTCGAATCTGAGGTTTCGCCCTGACAAAACATACGTGTTTGTCGGCGGTTTAGGAGGCTTGGGTCAAGCCACAGCCAGGTTTCTCGCAGAAAGAGGAGCTCGAGATCTAATTTTCTTTTCGAGATCTGCTGAAGAGTCAGCCAAGAACTATCCCGAGTATTTTGAAGAGCTGCAGGCTTTGGGGTGTACAGTCCAGGCGATATCCGGCAGCGTCGACGAGATGAGCGATGTTGTGGGTATGCTCAGCTCAGCAAGGACACCAATTGCAGGTGTGATGCAAGCAGCGATGGTTCTTCAGGTAAGGTTCCAAAGCTTCAAAGACCAAAAAAATGAGAACGCTGACAGTTGATGTATCAGGACATCAACATCACCGACATGACCTTCGACCAGTGGCAAACAACCGTGAGACCCAAGGTCCAAGGCACTTGGAACCTCCACGAAGCCATTCTCTCCCAGAGCGAACCACTCGATTTCTTCTTTCTTTTCAGTTCGCTCTCGGGACTTGGAGGCCAAATTGGTCAAGCGAATTACGCCGCAGCCAATGCATTTCTTGATGCTTTCGTTCAATATCGTCACTCCCTTGGACTGGCTTGCTCGGTTCTAGACATTGGCATCATGGAAGATATTGGTGTTCTTGCGAGAGAAACGGAACGTCTCGACGCTCTTCGCGCCACGTCTCAGCACTGCTTGCACGAGCAAGACCTACTGGACTCCTTGGAGCTGATGATCATGCGTTCTCACCCAAAGTCAAAGCAAGACTTCGACCTCCCCGCATCGAGCCTTTCCAAAGGTTACACAAATGCTAGCCAAGTTGCTATCGGCATGAGATCAGCAGCCACCGGCGGGAGGAAATCGGGGTGGCAGCGCGATCCGCGATCGGGGTTCATGGCAAAGCTTGAGATGTCCTCTGAGCGAGCCAGCGATGATCGGAAAACAGATGAGACGCTGAAAGACTTTCTCCAAGCTTGCAGGTCAAATCCGGAGAAGCTCACGTCCTCGGAAGCGAAGGCCTTTCTCGCCAGAGAGATTGGCGGCGCTCTGCGAAATTTCTCGATGCGGCATGACGATGAGGTGGACCTCTCGCTTCCGTTGCAAACAGATTCGCTTGTTACGGTAGAGCTTCGAAATTGGATACGACAAAAGATGGGAGTTTCGATTACTGTGGTGGAATTGCGGAGTGCGGACAGCGTCTATTCCATAGGAGAAGTGGCAGCGGTCAGGCTTGCTGCGGTCGTTGGAGACCCTCGGGGATAAGGCGCCGAAGTAGATGCACACTTAAGGAAACTGGGCGGGTCTATCCATGTTTCTATGGAAGTTTTGTCTCAAATTTGAATAATGAAGCAAGAGGAAACTCGGCGAAGATTGGTCATGACTTAGCAACTATAATTCAAACTGAGCAGGCCGGGTTGGTCTGAGCTGGCGTGAACAGCTGAACGAAACGTAGTAACAAGGAAGACTTAGAAATTAACAATAGTTTTTTTGAGTTAAATAGATTAATAGGATATCAGTTAACAGTCTCAAACTTTCCACACGCATGGAATTTGCTGCTGGAGTTGCCTCTTTTCTCACAACTAGGCAAGTTGCGCTAGAGTTATTCAGATTTAGCAGCCTGTCGAATTGAAATAGATTAATTTGTTCCAAATCTTCTAGTTGGTATGGCGACACAGAGGTTGGCATTTTCTCTGACATTCGAGAAAAGTTGCTGGCTTTTTATATATTTAGTTCACTTCACCAGACTCCAAGCCCTCCAAGACCTTGGACCTCATACAACTCACTTGTTATCAGTACACACTCAGCCGACCACCCGTCTCTCGGTTTCCTCCTTCAACATGCATCTTAAAGCCATCATTCTCGCTGTTAGTCTTCTCGGTGCCACTGCAGCAGCCGACAACATTCTCGGCTGCTACTCTGGAAGATTCACTTGCGCCAACGCATGCAACAACAGAGGTGAATGCCAAGAGATCCTCAACGGCGATAACAGCTGGTGCTGTGTGGCCTGAGGTGGCGCCGAGTATGTGTTCTGGTTGCGCAAGCTCAGCTGGCTATAGAGATTCTGGAACTGACATGAAATTCCAGACAATTTTGCACGCTGCTTTTCATCACAGCCGCTACATCACTTCGATAAGGAGGTTTTGCGGAGTCAAATCCGACAAAGGAGAATGGGGAAGTCTGTAGAGCTTGTCTTCCAGATCAAATGTTCAAAATGTCAAGTCCATAACCGAGACCGGAATCATCTGCTTCGTGATGTCAAGTACCATCTTCACTTCTGGTAGGCAGGCTGCTCGAACCAGCTCGAATTGGCCAACCGAATCATCCCGAGTAGTGAGCATGAAAATTCTAGCCGGATCACTTGTGTTGAACATAACGGCAACATCGATTTAAGACAACAATCCGTGTCATTTGACAATATTTCATATTCAGCAGCTATGACTCCGTGGTCGTTGACCCGCACTTCACGTCACTGGTGAAGGCTGTCGAAGCTGTAAGAAATCTGGGCTCTGGTGGAGTAAATGATGGATTCATGGAGTTTGGGCAGGCCCACGATGACATGAACTGGGGGAAGACGGGCGGGGGAACGCGAGTGTAAGCTAAATCCCGAAGTCTGAAAAATGGAGAATTGGGAATGAAATATGAATACAGATCGAATCTCAGCAACAGGTATGATCAGCTCTTATCGCCTCATGACACTCATGACAGGGTAGGCGAGGAGCAAGGCTGTTGTGGACTTTTGAGTGCCCTGCGAAAGAAACATGCAAAGGATCAACCCAACTCCCTTACGGCAAAAACTCTCTGAAAAAGCAGATTGCGATTGCAAGGTCCTTTCTGTACGGCGTGCCATTTAAGAAAAAGAGACGGTGGGGTGGAATCAGGCGATTGGGAGAATATTTTGCAGCTCTCGGAGCATAATTCCGATAGACAGTCGCTGTTGGCTCGTCAAACCTGCACCCGAACCCACGTCCAAACATGCGATAACGAACTAAACTCCTAGAACATCCACGTGGCAAGGATATCGCGAAATGTTTGGGCAAAAGAAATCTGCAGTATCTTATCAATGCATGAGATCCTAGCTTCAGAAATGACGGTGGCTTTGCAAGACGCGGTGATGAGATGCAGTTTGCCGGCGCATCGCAGTGTCACAGCCACCAGAACGTGGCGTGTACAGTGAAGTACAGTGAAGGGTCCTATGATCGACAAGGAACCAGAGGGGTAAGATGTCCTAAAAACAGGGCATCGGGCAGCTCCAGGCAAGGCAAGGTAGGATCCGGTTGAGATATCAACCGGGGGCTCCGGGGGTTTGCGCCGAAAAATTGCCTGTCTGAGCAGGAAAGGAAACATTGAGCGCCTCCGGGATGTGGCGTCGGAGGCCGAATCCTTGTGAAAGTCTTGCCAGTGGACCCCGATGACGGCCTTGGAAGCGGGATCTTTACCGAATTTTCATTTATTTCACGGAGTCGAGCATCAATATTTTCCAACGCTCATTCAGCCCTATGAAAAATCTCACGATGTTTCTGGAATTCGCCTGAGAAAAACAATATCCGGGCAGGCAAGTCTCAGTTTTTATCAGGACAACTGAAGCAAATCATTGGCCACAATGATGTCTAGAATCATTTGCGATGTGAGATAATCTTCGGTCTCCCACCACTCCACGACAGGGAACCATTGCGTAGGATTGGCGCGCGAAAAAAAGCTGTGGAAACTCTGTGGACCGTCACGACATGTGAATCGCCTGAGGTCGGAAAATCAAAGTCTGCCATGTGGCGAACAATGCCCAACTGATAAGAATTTATTTGGCATCACTGCAACCTTCGTGATGGAGGTCCGGAAGATGTCCGCAACTGTGTTTCTTTCACCGCGTTTTGAGTTTTGAGTATTGAGTATTAGAACTTACTGAACTCATGGGTTTTCAGAGCACCGTCAGCTTCTACCGTTGACGTTCATCCTGACTTGGTCTCCAATTTTGAGACAACCACAGAAGATGACGCACAACAAGCACTCCCTCGACACCCGCCGCCTTTCGGTGGACGCGGATGGAGAGCCTCTCGGTCGCAGGACTTCAGCACTCGAAGAAGTTCCTACCTTCGTTCCCCCTCCCGGCTTCCCAGGACTTCCAGTCACACGGCGGAGGAGCACCGTATCCCAGACCTCCCGGGTCACCTTTGAGAATGAGCGTCCCGAGGACATGGAGGAGCTCGTCCACAGCGCCTCAGCTTTGAGCAGACACCGATCGCGGGACAGGCGCGAATCCCAGGACAACGTCTTCGAACTACCTGCGTTCCCTCGTGCGGCCAAGCCAGGCCCCGTAAGCACCATTCGAGAAGTTCCCTCAGAGTTTACCACACCGCAATCGACAAGACCTCCCTCTCCCGTATCTGGTTTCGCTTCTGGGCCTCCGTCTCCGGGAGAAACCTCCGGTACACAGACGCCGGCTGAGTTTGAGATCGGCACCGGTCAAGCCTATCCAGATGTCGGCACCATCGCCTCTTTTCGAGGAGCGATCCTGCTTCTCTGCACATGCGGTGCCCAGTTGATGGACAACGTGTTCATGAGTATGTATCCTTTCTTCGCATCGCATGTTAGAATTAGTATGCTGATGGTCAACAGCTGGCGTGAATATCGCGCTCCCCGCGATTCAGAAGGAGTTCAATGTGAAGAGTGGTGAACTCCAGTGGCTGATTTCCGCCTACACGCTTACCTTCGGCGGGTTCCTGCTACTCTCAGGCGTCCTTGCCGACCGTTTTGGCAGGAAACTGATCTTTTGCTCCGGCATGGCGACCCTCAGCATCTGGACCATTGCCAACGGTTTCGCCACCTCCTTCATCCAAATCTCCATCTTCCGGGCCCTGCAAGGAATTGGAGCGGCCATGACCGTGCCTTCAGCGGTGGGTATCATCAGCAACTACTTCATCGCGAAGGACAGAACCTTGGCTCTGACAATCTTCGGAGCCGCCGGGGCTGTTGGTTTCTGTCTTGGCTTGATCTTTGGAGGGTTCTTGACTTCGTCCTTGGGATGGAGATACATCTTCTACATCCCGGTCGCTGTCACTGGTGTTCTTGGCGTTCTTGGGTGGTTCTTCCTTCCCAAGGACCGTATCGAGGGCACTTCCCGCCCCAAGCTGGATTTCGCTGGCGCTGGTCTATCGACAGCTGGACTTATTCTGCTCAGCTTCGTTCTGTCAAGCGGCGGCGAGTACGGCTGGGGCAAAGCGTTCATCATCGCTCTGCTCATTGTTAGCATCGCCTTAATCGTCGCTTTCACATGGGTCGAGAAGAAGGTCGCCAACCCCATCATGCCGCTGTCTCTCTGGAAGCTTGAGAACTTCGCCGCTCTTTGGATCGGTGGTTTCGGTAAGTCAACATCTTCTTCAGCCGGCGGTCCTCAAGTCAAATTAACGCTAACCCTTGGTAGTCATGTACGGCGGATACCAGACGACAATCTACTACACCACGCTCATCGCACAAGAGGTCAACAAGCTCAGCGCCGGCGAAACCGCGATCCGATTCCTTCCCATGGGAGCCACCGGCTTCATCTTCAGCCTCTCCATGTCCCGCATGCTGGAGATTTTCAACCCCAAGTGGCTTCTTGCAGTGGGCATGGCAACCTGCGCGATCGCGCCAGTGCCCGCCGCGCTCATGAAAGACGACGACCTCAACTTCTGGAAGCACGTCTTCCCCACAACCGTCATCGGTGTAGCTGGCACCACCATCGTGTACTGCACCATCACCGTCGTCCTTCTGGCCTCGGTTCCCGTCAACGTCAAGAGCCTCTGCGGCGGGATGGTGAACACGGCGTTCCAGATTGGCAGTGGCTTCGGCCTCGCTATCGCAAGCGCTGTTGTCCAGGCCGTGGAAACGAAGAAGGGACACGGTCTTCTCCAGCAGTATGTCATGGGACTCTGGTGCTGCGTCGGTTTGGCGGGTGTTGGTGTGGTGGCAAGCATCTTTGGGGTTAAGAACGTTGGCAAGGTTGTCAACGGTCCAGTTATGGCGCATTAAGTTAATGATTCGAACGAAGTAGAAGGGATGACGTATGGGTATCAAAAGTTACAGGTTATGCTTTCGGGTATTGGGATAAGCTTACTGCTGATTCGGACATTCATGATGCGATATGATACGATAATAGCATAGACTTAGCTACAGGATGTCTTCAGACTTGCGATGATACTGATTTTCTTACCGGCTTTAAGGTCACACCTGGTTGAAAAACACAATAAGTCAGTCTGCGGCTGCGGAATGAATTATGTCCAGCACTTCTATTGCAGCTGTTCTTGCCAGTTTGTCGGCCCCCTGCCCTGGCGCCGGCTTTCCGGAAGCTCGCACCGCTCGGGTCAGGCCGTGTCCCCACCTCGCGCCGAAGCGCCGGCTCCCACTTCTCCGAGTCAGTACCATATGCGTTTCGTCATCGTTCATAGTTCACAGGGTCGTCATGACATATTCACGAGAACGAATGTCACCGTGCTTCCCGTCTCTCATTCGCGCACCTGAAACCTTATTGGATTGATAATCCAGAGCTGGCGTGGAGAGTACTCTTCAGGGGTGAGTCTCAATCACTTCGAAGCCGTGCCAGTAGCAAGTTAAAAAATCATGTTAATTCATTGCAGAGACGCTAAGAGATGCTTTGTTTGCGCAGCCACAATTCGAGGATTTGCTTAGCAATCGAGTTCCTGGAAACACAGCTTCTAAGTAGTATCAGTTGAAAGCATATGAAATCAACAGATATCATAGATAGGCTCCTGGCTTTCTCACTAGTAAGCCATTTTCTTTGAGTATCGCACCAAGTTATGACATGATTATGGTGTTCGTCATCTCATTATTAAAAGTCTGCAACTGAAATCCGGTATCACCCTCTGGTATCTGGTATCAATGCCCTCCCACGCCCCATGACTCCCGATATCCATCTACTTAAATGAATCAAGCTCTATCGAGTTCTTACTGTCACCAGATGGAGGCATACTCTCGTGCCGTATCCTGACTTCCTCTGTTTTCATAATGCCACGCGGCGTGGTCTGGCCACTCTCCGCATCTTGCAAAGCCTCTTGCGACTCTTGCCATCTGGCATTCGACATGACAACAACAGAGTTTCTTCCGTAATGCGTGTTCTGGCCGTATCGCTTAGTTCTGGTCTTCGCCGTCTCGAGAGGGTTCGTTTGTGTTCTGCTTCGCCCGTAGCTCCGCGAGGCTGATTTCAGTTCGCGATACAACATTCTCCTAGGAACTCACACGTTAGTGTTTGCCATGCCAGTTGAACATGTATTACTCACAAAACTGGAATCGACACGGCCATGATGGATGCGGCGGGTTCCGTCAGCGTCCAGATGGTCAGGTCCACGCGGTCGTACGTGATATCTGTGCTGGTCATAGAAACGACCAGCACAGCTTTGACGATCCCGCAGGCTCCGGCACTACAAGAGGTCAGTATCAAGAAATGCAGATGCCGAACGAGTAAACTGACATGGCTCCTAAACTCATAGCCACCGCAACTCCAAATCTCTCGCGTCGCCGCATGGTTGCTCCCATGAGGATCGGCCAGGGCATAAAGGCCAACACGAAGTCCAAGATGGCGGAGTAATCTGCGAGATGGATGTCAGCCTCAAACACATCGATGATAAGAAGTTGCAGACTTACAAGCAGCGAAGAGTTGATATCGCACAAGTTGCGTCTTGTCCCAACACGTCCCCGGTACGGTGCTATCCCAAACCCTTGCCAACGGGGTGCACTTGGCGAACCCAAACATCCATACCAGGTTCATCGAGATGTTGATCGACACGATCACAAATATGAGAAAGTATTTCGTCCATGTGTTGGTTACGATCCGGTACAACGTGAGGGCGAATGACGTCTTGCTCGTCGTCGTCGCGATGATGCCGAATGTTGCGACGAGAATCGTGAAGAGGTTAATTTCCTTCTTGTTCTCATCGCTGATGGTCCAAAGGTGACGACCGAAACCCAGAGACACAATGTAGGTGTTGATGGAGACGGAAATCGCCAAGGATCCCTTTGCGCATGACACAGTTAGATTGAGCTTTCGTGAGATGTGATGCGAACGAAGCATGGCCGACATACCCAGGACCCGATCAGTAAATGGTCGTCCCACCACAAACCCCTACCACGCCATATTTTGCAGTATATGCGGAGGAACAGTAGGATAGCGCTCGCGCCTACTAATGACCACGTTGAGGCCAGCAACCGGCCGCCTCTATCGTCGGCCATTGTCGACGTCGCGGCATAAGCCCAATCGCCGGGTGTTTGGTGGACAAATGCTTGAAGCGGTTGGCAAAGGTCCAGCAAGAGTTCGACGACCAGCCCCCAAAAGAAGAGGAGCACCTCATTCTCATAATATGGACACCATGGTATCGATGGTTTACATGATCAGCGCACCTTGCAAGGGGGTATCCCAGATCCAACAAAGGTTCCCTCCCCGAACACAACCGTTAGTTTGGTGGTCCTGGGAAGACCTCCCCGAAATCTTTCGCGCTATGTGCCCCATCTCGAAACCAGGGCGAAAGTTACAAACTTCCAATCACTGCATGTGTGCGCTAGGGCGTGCCGACTCGTCCCAGTTACAGTAAGAGATAGATGCCGAGTTCGGATGGACGTTCAGTCTCCCGCTTTCCTGCCTTGATTAAGTCGGCCGGTCGGCCGGCGGATTGGATTGGGTTTTCCTTATTGGGGGATTCCGATGGTAAGGGGTCAACTGGAGGATTGGGCAATCGCACATGGACGAAACCCCGGCATTAGAATCCTTTGATCTCGTATCTTTCACACCACCTCCGGCATGTTGAATTGCCCCGATGCAGTACCGCGGTACATCATATTAGGGACCGGTGGCGTTGCAGGAACCGGGAAGTACGGAGAGGGAAGTTCGGCAGAGCCATCGGCTATTGATACACATCATGTTCGGCCGGAGATTGTTGGTTTTTGTCCTGAGTGCAGTTATTAACCAACGGTTTTCAACGAGGAGGAGACCAACAATTCTTCTCTTCTCTTCACCAACATCTGATCTTCGCTTACATCGGGTATCGGGTACCGGGCGACAATTTCCATTCCCAACGTAACCTGGCTTGCAACTCCGCGTTGTCTCCTCCCAAAGATCCTTTTGATCACGCCAGGCCAAGAGATCCCAGCCTTACTTGCTAGCTGGGGTAGACCCTCTAGTACCGAACTCAAAATGATGTGGATTAAACGGGGTAGGATCCCATTCGTGCGACTGTGAGATTTACCCCGGTTATACATGAACCTGGGCTTCTAGACTCGGTTAGCCGAGGCCAGCAACTTGGAAGTCATTAACCGTCCACCAACGCGAACTTGGCTGAGCAGTAGCGTGGTCTCACCATTTTGCACTGCTAAGCCGGATTTAGAAACGCTTGTCCGATGCCGCGCAAGAAGTTGGAAGAAACGCTAGACATCTACGGGATATGATTACGAGATGAAATCAAGGGCCACGACGACGGCGACCCTTACTACAGGGTGAAGAATCTCATGGGAGCCACGCGAATCCCGTTCCAGGACATGCAAGCATCATGCAACTTTGCTGCAGAACCCTTGATCGTCCCCGGACCCGAAAGGCCAGCATAGACAAGATGGGTCATGGGGATTCTGTTGGATCCAGGGTCGATCGATAGTGTGATGAATCGTCGGTGATTACTATCCCAATTTGCTTCTAGTTTCGACGCCGTCCAAGCCGTAGTTTCTAGGCGCTACCGGGAAGGATTCTTCAACGGCAATGAGGCAACTACTTGGCCTTGACATAATGTCACGACTAGCTGCCAGCTCCTGACTCCCAGCTAGCTCTGCAGCGTGCAGGTTCAAATTCAATTTCTTGCGATTGACATGAGACACGCCGTTTTCAGCCACCATATCAACGACCCTTTGGACTTCTAGAAGCATTCCTTCGAGTCACCACGCCGTTGAAACCTGCCCAGAATGCGTCCAAACGCAGTTAACCTTCTTCTGGTGTTCCTGTCGGGCTTGGACCTGTCCGAGGGCTTGCCAGGCCACCATGACGTTTCGCCTCCTTCCGTGCGCCTCTCCAACGGAACCTACGTCGGTGTGTGGAACGAGCAGTACGCGCAGGACTTCTTCCTGGGCATCCCGTATGCGCAACCTCCCATTGGCTCTCTTCGGTATGCAGCACCTCAGCCTTTGAACTCTTCGTTCGAAGGGACCAGGTCTGCCGCCGAGTATGGCTGGATGTGCATCGGGTACGGCTCAGACACGGCCAACCTGGGCAGCCCGGTCTCGGAGGATTGCTTGACAATCAACGTTGTTCGTCCGGCCGGCACGAAGCCAGGAGACAACCTCCCCGTTGGCATTTGGGTTCACGGAGGTGTAAGTAAAGGTTTTCCCAAGATGAGACGGACACCTTCACTGACTTTGACCGGGACAGAGTTACGTCAACGGCGGCTCACGCGACCCGAGGTACAACCTGAGCTACATTGTCGAGCAATCCGTCAAGGAGAACAAGCCAATCATCGCGGCCTCTATCAACTACCGCCTCTCTTACTGGGGTTTCCTCTTCAGCAAGGAGCTCCAAGACGACCACGCGGGCAACATCGGCTTCAGAGATCAACGCCTGGCGCTTCAATGGCTCCAGGAGAACATCGCCCCCTTCGGCGGCAGCCCTGACAAGGTCACCATTTGGGGAGAGTCCGCCGGTGCTCGCTCTCTTGGAATGCAACTCATCGCTTATGATGGAAAGCACGACAACCTCTTCCGCAGCGCAATTCTAGAGAGCGGCAGCTCGGTTGCCAAGTTCGTTGGTGCTGATGCCTGGCAGCCATACTTTGAAGCTCTCCTGCAAAAGACAGCATGCGCCGACGCAAGCGATCGATTGGGTTGTCTGCGAGCACTTCCCTGGCAGACTCTCAACGCCATTTTCAACGGCACGAACCCACTGGGTGTTACGCCGCCTACCATCAGCGCTGTCATCGACGGCGACTTCATCACGGGGAAGGCGACGACTCTTCTTTCAGCGGGAAAGTTCGCACACGTCCCGCTGTTGCTCGGCAACAACTTCGATGAGGGTACGGGATACGCAAAGCAGGGCATCAACACCACCGAAGATTTCGAGGCGTGGCTCGCGAGTAGTCTGCTGGCCGACTCCACCCAGATCGAGGCGATCAAGAAGCTGTACCCCGACGACCCCGCCGTCGGCATCCCCGCGTCGTATCCCGATCGACCCACCGGGACTGCGTTCGGATCCCAGTGGAAGCGCGTCGCCGCCGTTGCGGGCGACTACCAGCAGCACAGCGGTCGACGACTTCTTGCCAGCTCCTATGCTGGCGCGGGACTGCCGGTCTATTCTTACATGTGGAACGTCTACGTCAACGGCCTCGCTCCCATTTACGGCGCGACCCATTTCCAAGAGGTCGCTTTTGTGTTCAACAACGTCAAGGGCTTGGGCTATGCCACCAACCCTTTCGAGGGCAAGCCTGAGTCATACGTCCAGCTGGCGGATCTGATGAGCAAGATGTGGGTGGCTTTCATTCACGGCACCGATCCGAATCAGTGCACTCGTCCGTGGGCGAAGGGCCTCTCATGGCCCCAGTACACCCCGAATCGGCCGCTGAACCTGGTTTTTGACGCCAACTACACTAGACTGGGCTACGTCGCAAAGGATGACTACCGGAAGGCGGAGATTGCTTATATGCAGCAGAACGTGTTCAATTGAGTGTAGAAGTGCGCATTTCATGGTTCCTTAAAAGCATATATAATTGTAATAACCACCGCTTCACTAAGCCAGATGCCATCACTCTGATAATGGTTTTAGTTGTGTTGCCACATCCCTCCTCACATCATGGCTTTCTTCCAAAGATGAACAAGAATCGGCTCTAATTTTCTCAAGCCCGCCATAGTGACTACAACGGTTGATTTGACAAGAGGATTTATACTGCCATTCACTGTTGAGGGTACCGAAGGTGTTCTCAATCCGTGAAATCACTCACCGTACCAAAATTCACCATGGGGTCGGAAGCCGCAATGACGATGCAGTGACTGTAGCTGGATTTCTTTTATATATGTGTCCCGTGTGAAGACCCAGAACGAATGCAGTGTCAATCAAGCAATACACCGATACAAAAGCATCATTGGCTACAGACTAACAGTCTTACATATATCACCCAGCGATTGCCCTCCAAGTACTTCACGACATCTACGAAGGTCTCAGCAAATAAGCGATTTCGTTTTAGGCTAAACTGCAACTGTCTCCAAGATGCTCAGTAAGCAAGACCAAGATCGTGAGCTCAAAAAGCGGGCAGAGAAGGCAAGACAAGAGGCCGCGAACCATAGAATGGAGCAGGCGGCGCAAGTAAGTTCTCTTTCCGCGCACAAGCATGCACAGCAAATTTCCTAACAGGTCTTCAACTGGGCGTAGAACATCGCCAATGCCGCAACCGTCATTCGGGAACAGCGTCGTGCCCAAGAACAGCAGCGCCAGCAGCAGCAGCAGAATCGCCGCTGAGGACCTGGACATGAGAGCAAGGACGTCTTTCTAGTTACTATAGAAGTTCGACCAAGAGCCATAGCTAGTAAAATCATTACCTTTTGATCAAAGTCTTGTCAAGTGATACCTGGCTGCCGCTGGTCCTTTTGATCCTTGAAAGAAGTGGAATTTTGGTGAGTACCAAATTGCGCTGGATTTTAGTTCAACGGTGGCAAGGCTTGAAGGATATTCGAGTGCGTTGAATTTAGTGTAAAATTCCGCATCCTGATTGTTTAATTTAGTAAGTAGACTCTCTTTGTCGTTCCAATGGTTATACATATAGATCATGTGTTCTCATGTTGATCTCGTGCAACGTGACTGCTTGGGGTATCATAAGCATCTTTGGATTTCAGAAGTGCGAAGCTTACTATCTGTTGTCAAAAGTGAGAATTAAATGCTTCCCAGCGATGCGCAACATTGTATCTCAGCTACCACGACGCGAACCGCGTATTTGATCTGCGAGTATTCTTTGAGATTTTCTTTCCACAGCTGGGAATTCGGACAGAATATACTTGTGCTCACGGTTTCAATCGCCTTTCACCGTGTTAGTAATGCTTTATAAGCTCGCGATCAGTAATATTTCTATACAAGAGAGGTGTTAGGCCCCTATTTAGCTTAATTTGGTGCTGAATGCCGTTGAAGATTGACGTAGATCACCTTATTATAAATGCTTGAACTGCTGATGAATTCCATCAAAGCATCCAACTGCGTCTCTGAGTACATTCACTGGATGATCTCAAGCTTGGTATCAATCTCCAGTGAAGTATATGATACCATTCCGACCGAGTGTAAAATATCAGATATATGCTGCCGTTCACCAAGAATGCCTTTCTCGTGGAAGTGTCATTGCGATTATGTGCTGACCTATTTAAGAACCTACTAATGTGCCCCGAGAGACTGACGAGAACTCAAGCAGAATCTCAAGGTATCAAACCCAGAAGGACACCACTCAGCCAAACACACCTACCGCCCACCACAAACAATCTACCAAGCAGGCCGCTCCCTTCACCAGTATTCAGGATGTCTGCAATGAAGCAGGACGAAGACCGAGAGAGTCAGAGACGAAAGGAGCAGCAGAGACGGGAACAGGAGAGGACTGCGAGAGCGAACTTAGCAGGAGTAAGCATCACAAACCCGCATTTTGAATGACACTCCATTGTCACATTTCGCAAAGCCTTTTCATATCTACTAACCAAAACTCATTTTGATAGAGAATAAGAGATAGTCTCAACAGGGCAAATGAGTTGGCAAGGCAAGAGCGGGAGCGCCAGCAGCGCGAAAACCGAGACCGTCGTTAGGTTAGGTGGGTTTGAAGCGATCAACGTGGTGGAGCGTGGTCAATCGGTGCGTGCCTTTTAGTGGCAATCATATAGTATAGCTCTCGCGGAATCTTCACGCAGGCACAGGTAATGGAAACCCTGTTTCCAAATCTTCATGCTCCAAAATGCTCAGCTTGTTCGCATTCACCACGATGCCCTCCCATCACGGACCCTCTCTCACCTCTCGCCGTCCGTCAACAGGCTCATCCGCGAGCACAATCTGCCTCCCCTCCAGTCTCACTTTGACTTCCTTCGCAGCCTGCTTCAGCTCCCCTATGGGCCGAAGACCGCCGCCCGCTGCGGAGTGGCAGTCCCTGCTGAGGGCCACCATGGGACCCAGGGACGAGTCTTTCAGATCGCGCACCGGACCCGGCTCGTCGTCGTTCAGCTCCCCCCTCCTGACCTGATTGGCGATCGTCAGGGCCAGAAACACGATGGCGATGGCGATCTCGGTCGCGAGCAGCGAGATCCAGCCCCATGTTATCCTGACGTACGAGGCCTCTTTCCAGGCCTCGCCGGTGACGTTGAACGCTGCGTGGGCGAAGGTTGTTGGTTGGCCGACTCGGATTCTGTGGGCGATAGGTCAGCTAAGGTCTTTAGATGTCTTCAAATCCGTCACAAGCCATCGTTTTGGCACGGAAGAGGACCCATCCGTGTGAAGAAAGGCGGCGGGGACTTACAAAGCTGAGAGACTAGTCGCAATGTTCGTGTAGATGTTGCTCAGAGCTGCCTGGCGGTTTTCAAGACTGTCGTGCAGGGCGAAGAGGACAGACTGATGAAGCCTCCTCACGAACTCACCGCCGGCATAAATGATCGGCGTGTCCTCGTCTATCTCGGTATCGGGGCTCACGCTCGCGTACCCGACCAAATAACTCTTCATCGTCCCGGCCATGTCCTCCAGACCGAGGTAATTGGCGGTGAAGCTCTGCGTGCTGCCCGAGGACGGCCCATCAGGGGCGGAAGATGCGTTGCTCGCCACCTTGAGCTCGAGCACCTCGTCCCACCTGTCCTGGCGAGTCTGGCAGATACTCGACTGCTCGTACAGGAAAGAACTGCAGTTCATGTCGAGGAACGAGCCGCCGACCGGCTCGATCAGCTCCATGTCGGTGAACGACTCGACCACGCGGGTGGCCTCCACGCCCGTGCGCACCTCCGTCTCGTACGTCTGGGCGCAGAGGTGGAAGAGCACCTCGGTGGCGTCGTGCCGGAACTCGCCAATGTTGTTTACCAACTCCTTGACGGACGGGGCGTCGTTCTTCTTCGATCCCCACCACGTGTCGTTGTAGACCGTCGGCGTGGTGTACATCACGGCAAAGGATGCGATCCTCGTCCGCTGGAGGGCGGGGTCGTCGCCGAAGGCGAACGTCAGGTTCCCGTTCAGCATCTCGGCGTAGACGGCCAGGTTGTTGTAGTGCGCCATGTCGAGGCCTCCGCCGAGAGAGGCGCGGTAGACCTTCAAGTCGGGTACGGCCCGGATGGACTCCCCCATGACGGGCGTCTCCAGCATGCTGGAGTTCGCGAACTCTTCGACGGTGAGGTGAGATGATATGTTGGCCATTTTCACGCAGACGCCGAGGGATTGGTATTGGTTAAAGGTGCAGTTACCGGTTGAACACGTCGCTCTGCCGGTGGTGATGTCGGCGAACGAGAGTGGCTTTAGGAACCCTGTGAAGTCGAGTAAGGAGCCCATGTAAATCGCTTGTTGCGTCGCTCTGTACAGCTCATCCCTCGGTGCTCTTATATCCAAAACGGCCTTCGTCACGGCCTCTTCTCCCGCGACTAACGTATCGCGGATAGGGTAGTCAATGCTGAGCTGTGTAACCGGTGCCGTCACGGTGCTAATGATGATCAGGAGCGCACCGAGAGCAACAACGTGACGGAAGCGAAACCGCCATATCAGAACCAACGAACCCCAGGCCCCTCTGCTTGCCTGGTCAATGACGTGAAAGTCGTACAGTGACTGTGGTTTTTCCTGGTTGAACCACGTCCATTGCGTCTGGCTGATGGCGACGGAGACCGGCACGATGAAGGCGGCTTTTGTCAGAGTGGTGAAGAAGGCCACGAAGGAGTTGAGAGTGATTCCCCAGGGCCAGTTCGGTAGGCTTTGCTGGTCGAATTTGGAGAGGACGACGACGATGACTACAGACGAGGACCATGAGCATTTCGCACATACGCTTCACATCGAAAGCACAACACAGCAGAGACGCACCGATGAAGAGGATAATACTGAGAGCGATGCAGATTAGCTCGAGCGCCCAAATCCTCCAGAGTGACCTGCCGCGAGTTGTGGTCCTCGTCTTCTCGGCAGACGTCTCGGAGATGTAACTCGGCGGCTGCGATGCGCCGTCGCTCTGGTCGCCCGGGCACTCTTGGATGCTGCTGTACGTCGCCACGGGCTTCCTCGGAATCGAGAACGTCTTTACGGGCTTGAAGCTTTGTGGGCTGCTCTTCCAGGACTGCGGTGAGAGTGCCTCATGTTTGTCTCGGGTTGTCTCACGGGGAGGGCCAAATGATGGTTGAAAATTTGGAAAAGGCGAGTTCTGGGAGTGAGGCCATCCTGGCCCCTCGCGTCCAAGACTAGAGAGGTCCAAGGTCAACGGAGAGGCCGGAGACACGCAGTCATCATCTGAACTCGGCCTTGTTTCCTGCCGATGTCCCTGGGAAGTTGTCATTGGCGATATTGTACGGGGTGCTGCTTGCCAATGGGCCATGTTGAGAAAAGCTCTCGGTGCTCATCGGGACCGCACGAGAAACAACGTGGACTCGGAGAGGGCCACCTCCTCCTACAAATAACGCCAGCATTCTTTATCGCAAGATGATGCCACAAACACAACCCGTCCAACATCACAGTTCCCAATAATAGACCTGCAGTTTGGTAGCACTTCAGACCCCACAGCTAAGCCACCCGTGCAAACACGCGAAACAAGACATTTGGGGGCGGTGATAGGTTCATCGGTCCAGCCAAGGCTGCGTCCGACATCGTCTGCCCTGGTTTGTCCCGCAGCTCGCATCATCAGCCCCCAGCGGGCCGCAGAGATCTGCGTCGAGCCGCCGGTAATCGCCCAGCAGGGCTCACTCAGGCTGACGCTGTGTGCATTATCCGAGGCGGGAAGGTGAGATTCGTTGGGTGGCTGTGGGAAGAGGAGGAGAGTCGTGATTGGCGAGAAAACCTCGTACGTACCGACGATGTAACGCCGCACATGCGTGTAAGACTGTAAAGTAACCAACGCCCTTCAAGGGTCCTTGGCGAGTTGTCAAAGAACTGATCTGTGGATGTTCCTTTACGGCTTCCTTTACTCTTTCTTGTTTTCTAAAGAATTGTTGTTGTTTCTCGATTTCTGTACCTGACCCCCATTTCAAACAAATCCGTAGTTTATCTGAGCCGCCAAATCTTCATAAGAAAAGTCTATCTCACGCAGGTCGTAGCCAAAGTTTCTCAGGATAGCAACCTCGTCCACAAACTCTTCTGGATATCTGTCAATCGTCACGTTGAAGCTCCAGCGCAACCTCTTGACATATACCAACATACTCTCCCTCCTGGAGTTCAGGAGCTTTTGGATGAAGTAAGCATCATATTCGGTATCGACGGTTCCGTCGACCATGAAGTACGGCAAGACCCATCTGTTCACATCTCCGGCGGGGAGTTCGACACTCCGAAGCATGAGCGTGGAAGCAAGCGGGGAAATACCGAGTTCCATGGTCGAATCAAATTCTGAGCGTATTTGGACCAGGTTCAGAACAGCATCCAGTAGCAGATCGTCGTTGATTTGCAAGTAAATCGCCTGTCCAAGCTCGGGCTCCTCTTGCGATCTTGTCAGAAGCGTGAACTCGTATGGAACCCAGTCGGAGTGACAGTCGACGCGAAGAATGCAAACTTTGGATTCGAGGTCGGCTAGGATCCCAGTGGCGACGAAAGCTTTGATGATGCTCAGGACATCGAATCTTTTGATTGTTTCTTCGGATGGGCCGCAGTTGAACTTGTTCAAAACATACAGCAAGAATCCACGCCATGAGTGACGCATACTGGGAAGCTTCAGCGGCCAGCTTGTTGTTTCCAAGTTTCTCTTCGAATCGTTCCGTTCAGACGAGACAAACATTTCCAATATTCTTGGAATAACGTCGAGGCGAGGAGCATTAATCGTTGTGGCAGGAAAGGTCGCGCCAATCAGGTGTTCTATGATTGGGTTGGGACAAATTGCTTCCAAAACAAGAAGACCAGTCGACATGACTTCTCTGGTCTTCTTCATCCGTCCCAAATTTTCTGCGACCCAATCCGGTTGGCCCAACACGGCAGCAACCGCAAGAAGCTGCTGATTGCTCGTCAATCCCTTGGGAGGATTGGGGAAAATGCCTTCTGCCTGTCTCAAACACAAAGACAGAAAGTGATGCGAACTCTCCATGGAAACCCGCGGTTCTTTAGACTCATGTATTCTCAGAAACATTTCCGTGAAAACAGAATGGCGTGCATCCATCCCGGACCAGCGATAGTGCCGTGGATGATCGTCGCTGGGCGCCAGTATGCAAACCAGCATGAGGCTAGCTGTGGCCTTCCTCATGAATGATCGCTCATCCATTCTCAACGGATCTATACCAAGAACCTTCCTGCCGAAATCATCATCGAGAAGAAAGTCCACAACAGTCCTGTGAATGAAACGAACAGTGGCGTTCGCCCAAACGCCCAAGTTGTCCTCGTCATCTGATACAAACGCAGATTGTGAAGCAGTGGGTTCAGCTACCTCAAGCAGCCCCATACACCTTGTGGGCAGCGTCCGAACAGTGTAGGCGCATCTATCTAGAAGACCACGTCTAGATGGAAGGGCTCCGGACTGCGTGAAAGACTGGAGGGGCGCAACCCACGACGCTGTTGCGAGTTGAAGCACGCTGCACTCATTAACTTGAGACCAGTTTTTGTAGTCTTCCTCGAGTCTCTCCAGCACGAGTTGAAAGTACAGCGCGGCTTCTGTTTGGTAGAATGTGCTGTCTCCGTTTGACCTCATCCACATGTCCCGATACAAATCGCTGATGTCCTTTGGAAGAGAGCTTATGCGGGAATGAATCATGTTCCAATCATCGTCGTTGCGCAGTCCTCGCCTCAAGCTTTGTAAAACAAGAACCACCCACAGAAAGACGCCTTCCGCCCTGAGAAGAATCAATGCTGTGACGCTAGCCCGCCCGTCTCTTGATTTGATGTCAAATTCTTTCAACATGTCGCTCGAGTACTTTTCAATATCTCTCTCAGTGAGATCTTGCATCAAGAGCATCGGGTGTGTTTCCAGGTGCTGTTTGAAGATTGGCTCCGGGCGACTTGAGACGCAAACCTTGACTTTGTCTTTCTGGACGAGTCTGGCCAAGAAAATGATGAACTGGTATTGCTCATCACCATCCACGTCAGATATTTCGTCTAGGCCATCGATCAAGAAAAGAAATGAGCAATCCGAGTGTCGCAAGAGATCCAACAAGGTTACTTCCAAATCTCCAATGGTCCAATCGGTGTCACTGGTCTTATTGTTGATGTCCATAACTGACGCTAAGCGCTGGCCGTATTGTTCAGACACCAGCATCGCCTGATGAAGTAAAGAGCAAAGTATCCCTTTGTAACTTTTTTGCATTCGCATTCCAGGTTTCCAGATGAAATGGGAGATGACCTTTGAATTTGGGTGCCACATTCCCAGGATCTCAGTGGTCTCCTCACTTGATTCGATGAATTTCATCAGGGTGCTTTTCCCTGAGCCGGGCTTTCCACTGATCCAGTATGGTTTTCCCTCATGATCTAGGAGCCATTGAACGAAGCTATCCCAAAGTGGAAAGGCAAGCTCATGTCCACGTCCGGGATCGCTGTCAACACTGTTCTTGGCATCCTTATCTCCATCACCATCTTTCTCATAGTTGTACTGATCTGGGCTTGTGCCTTGATTTCCCAACGGACTTCCGTCTGTCTCAACTTCAAATCCTGTGGACGAGCCCAAATCTTCCGACGAAGTCTGAGCTCCAGGAGAGCCGCTACGGCGGGCGAGGTCGATTGTGCCATACTCCTCTATGAACGCGTCATCGTCGGTATCGTCGTCGAATTCGTCATCAGTAGATAGCTCCTCCACAATGTCCAGATATGGATTGTTCCCTGGTGGTTTCTTGTAAACCGCACTGTCATCCCTCGGATTATCCTCCACGATGTCCGGGTCTGGAGTGTCCTCTGGTGGTTCCTTATAAACCGCATTGTAATCCCGTAGATTGTCGTTGAAAATCCACCGGAGTGTTTCTGGGTGAGAGGGTTTTAAGCTGTTCTTCCGCTCATTCATGCCTTCGTACTTCAGACTGTGAAGCAGACGTTGATAGGCGTGGTCAGCAGCCGTTGCCTCGTCGACTGACGAGATCTTCCGAGACAAGGCGTCTTGTATTTCGATGCTCGAGGACGAAACAACGTTGGCAAAACGGGTTTCGTGAACTCTGAGCTCGGTCGAAAATTCCCTCCCGAGCGCTGTAATAGCATCCTGGGATTTGGATGACTGGGTCGTGACTTGGTCGCGGACGACTTGGGACTCGTCTCGGATAATCTTCCGCAAGACGTTTGAGTCGCGGGAATGCGTGGCGATGAAGTTCTTCAGCGTATCATCCACGCGTTCGAAGGAATCCCTACTTTTGCCGAAGAACGCCTCTGCTTTGGCGAAGAGCCTCACTAACACCAGGGTTTCCATCGTGTTCTGTGCATTCTCGAGACTCGTCTTGAGGCGATCCAGCCGCCGCTTTCGCCAAACAGCTCTCGACGTGGTAACCAATGCAGACAGCTTACTGTTCGAGCTGGGCGTAAGATATGTGATCTCATCATCGAGGTCTTTTGCGTGCTGAATGCAACTGCGAGAAATGACCAGCAGACGTTTCTCTGCGCCGGTAGTCTGGGGTGTCGGGGTTCCCTTGCTCGTCAGCAAGTTCGTTACTTCAGCGGAGGTTTCTTGAAGAGCCTGCGCCTTGAGCTTCAGATCGGGCTCTACTTCGCCGCTATGGTAGATTCTGCAACACAAGGAGACTGTATCGCGACCGGAATCGATGAGTTGCATGACATTGCAGGCGAGGCTCAGGCCTGCGATGCCCTCGAGACCGGACATGGCGCAGTACGGCGTGACGGCACTGTTCTGTGTCGAGTGTTAGGAAGAGAGTGAGAACATCAGGCAGAGCGGGGGAGAAGACCTTGGTCAGGCTGCCAGCACGAAATACCTTAGGTGAGACGCGGCCGGATTTGCGGGCTATTGAGGCAGTCACACCACCTCCAACTGGCACCTGCATACACCAACGACAAGGCGCCTTTTCACCAGACATATCGATTGCGCTTGACAGCTTCCATGCCGAAGCGCTTCCAATGACGGAAAAAACAACTGCCCCACAGGACCTTCGTCCTCGTACCATTCAGACCACGTCTGTTTTCTCAGGGCTTTAGAGGTGGTTGGTTCTAAAGCTGATATTAACTGAGCAAAGTCGCGGACGTCATTCAATGCCTGGAAACTGTACTTGAATTCTCAAAGATTACTAGTCAATTGCGACTTTACTAGTTGCGGCCGTGCAACTCGGCGGCGGCTATGGCCCTTAAGATATCGCGAGAAAATAGACGGTCTAGAAAATAGACGGTCTGGTACGAGAGCTCCATAACAATGCCCAAAAATCGGACATTCTCTGTTGATTGCGGTGTGGCGGAGGGGCTCACCATGTTTGGAATGATTGTCCAAGATTGCACCCATTCCCGAGACTCTACCTTCATGAGATCGTTCAAAGGCTCTGAGCTGCCATTTGGTCTAGAAGACGGTATTATCAACACGCTAAATCATACACCACTCTATCTGCGCGCGCCCTCACCCCGACGTCTACCTCCTCTCATGCACCAACCGCCCCTTAACCCAAACGCCCCTGGTATTCCGATCATCGCCGTTGAAAACCCATTTGGCAATCCTCTCCTCCCAGTCCTCCCACCCAAAAACATCAACATTCGAATCCCACCCGGCCTCCCCCTCGCCGTCCACAACCGGCAACCCCACCAGCTGCGCATCCCACTGCATGCCCACCTCGAACCCCCCGATCCTGTCCCCGAGCCCGACGACCCGCGCGCCGCCCCTGGTGCCGAGGAACAGCACCTCCTCCACGGTCAGCTTGGCCCTCTCCTTCTCCTCGCCCTCCATCCCCATCGCGACGTGCCTCGAGACCAGCGCCGCCTGCCGCGCCGCCTCCAGTATGCTCGGGCTGTACCCGCCGCTCATGTCCGTCCCGAGCCCGACCTCGATGCCCTTGTCCCACAACCACCGCACGCGGGCCGCGCCGCTGGTGATGGACGAGTTGCTGCACGGGCAGTGCGAGATCTTGGCCCCGCGCTCCGCGATCGTGCTCGCCTCCTCGTCCGAGAGATGGATCGCGTGCGCCAGCACCGTCTTCTCCCCCAGAAGCCCGACGTCGTCGTACACCGCCGTGTAGCTCTCGCTCTCGGGGAACAGCTCCTTGACCAGCTCGATCTCGCCCTGGTTCTCGGAGATATGCGTCTGCACCAGCACGTCCAGCTCCTTCTGCATCGCGCTGAGCCCCTTCATCGCGTCCGCCGAGCACGACGGCGCGAACCTGGGCGTCAGGACCGGCGCGACGAGGTCGAATCCCGGGTCGATGGACCGGATGTGCTCGATCGTCTCCCGCGTCCTGCGCAGCGAATCCTCCGCGTCCTCGTCCTTGTAGTACTCGGGACATAGCCCGGGCCGGTCCATACACACCCTGCCCACGAACGCTCTCTGTCCCAGCCTCAAGCAGATATCCGCCAGGAGGTTCGTGGCCGCGACGTCGATGGTGGCGTAGTACGCGGACGTGGTCGTCCCGTGTGCGAGCGTCCTCTTCACGCAGGCCGTGTACACCCTCTTGGCCTTGTCCAAGTCCTTGAGGCTGGACTCGAGGGGGAACGTGTACGTGTTCAGCCAATCCAGTAGCGTCGACTTTCCAAAGATGCCTACGTTGGGGTATTGTGATGCGTGGACGTGGGTATCTGCGGGTCTGGTTAGTGCCGGCTCCAATGCGGGGTGGGATATCATGGGAGGCCGAGACATTGTGTCTCGAATACCCGTTCCCGCCCGCTGAACAAGACTAGGATGGAGGTAAAATGACATACCGATGAATCCAGGAAAGTAGAACTCTCCCTCCCCGCCAATTCTCACTTTCACATCCCCCCTCGTCCAGCCAAGTCTGGGAAACAGCACGGCCTGAGCCTCCTCTAACCCCGCGCACCTCTCGACCGCGACAATGGTTCCATCGGTATCTACGCAGACGGCCGTGTCGTGGAGGTACTCTAGTTCCTCCCGCGATTTGGAGTGCACGAAAGTCCCGAGGAACAACTGGTTGCCGCGGCGGTCCTTCTCTTGGCGCGGGGCCGATGCGGGGGACGGATCCCTAATCATATCGCCCATCTCGTCGTCGTCGATCCAGGCCACGGTTGTGGAAAAGGAAAAGAAACAATCGCTCGCCGGTGCTTGGTATGCGCGATCCTGACGTTAAACGTCTTGCTCGGTTGTCGTCGGCACCTCGGAAACCGGTCCACCCCCAAAACGCAAGTCCCGGTCGTGTGTCCTCTTGTTTACCCCAGCTGACGTCGGAGAATGACTCTCACAAGAGGTGGACGTAGTAATCCTTGTGCTCTGTTCTGGAAGAAAAAAGAACGTCACGCGGTCTTCGAGTCCGACAGCAGCAGAAAAACCTCCAAAGTCAAAAGCAGAAGACGGAAGAGCACGAAGAAAAAGGAAGCAACGAAGACGGTAGATATATGCGGTGCAACAGATGACGCGCATTCAGAAGGAATCCCAGACCCGGCGGCGACGTCGGAAAGATAAGACGAAAATGGAGGACCTGCGCTGCGGGCGTGCGAACAGGGGGGGACACTACCTAGAACGGGACTTTGGACTTTGGGAAGGTGGGGTTTACTTGTGATTCAAGCCTCTTTTACTAACGAATTCCCGGCGTGCGGTCCTTCATCACTTGAACTAACAACACGTGTAAACAGCAGGATTTCTGATTAGCAATATGTGTAATACAGAATTTCAATTCATCAGTCATTGGGTCCTGGAAACATCATAGCGCAAGAAAAGATAACAATAGCTCACCTTAAAAAAACAACAACACCACGTTCTGGAGCGCGCGTTCCAGGCAATCGGAGCCCCGGAAGCGACACCCTCTCCCCCCACCCGCAAATGGAAGGCCGCACCTCCCCGTAAAACGTCGCACGGCGCTCGCCGCAAGCCGAACGCAGCCCCTCCCCTCAGGTCCTCCCCGCTCGGGGGTTCCCCAAGCTCCAAGTGAACCCTCCTCAAGCTCGAACCCTTCTCCCTACCTGACGTCTGTACAACCTCAATATCCCCCATGACTGTCTCATCAACTACCTTACTCAATCTCCCCAAGCCACGATCCAATAAGCCCTATTCCCTTGTCCACCACGCAGGCGTAACACAACACGAACGACGCCATGACCGCAAAGATGCCACATGATCATCACAATCGATAGTCGATAAGAGCTAGTTCCCCTGATAGGCAGGTCGGATTACCAGGCTTGGTCCGGTCTAGGCCGCACCACACCGACGCGGCTGAATCCGTCGATCTCCGTCCGCTGCGACGCACCTCGGACGCGCCACCCTTCGGAAGAACCATCTGTGATGCCGGGTCCTTGCATTCCCTTTTCGTCGATCCCCCGCTGTCAGAGCTGCTGTGCCTGGTCTGCTTCAGTCCAGTCGACTACGTGTCACGAGAATCCGGTTTGCATGTCGGACAAACCAACCCGATCGGATATTTTGTGACTCTTGTTGGACACATGTCATAATGCTTCTAACCACCTTCTTTCACACCGAGTCATAACAAAGACTGAAGTAATTGCTCTCTCTATTCTTGTCCTTGTACTACCATTAACAATTGACGCCCTCCCAAAAAACACTAAACTTTCTAACGCAGCGTGATAAAACAATCATAAAAACAAGATCCGTAGTTTGTACAACAATTACGCCGTCTAGAGTCATCAATACCCGACATTCATCATCTGGTATCCCCGCCTTTTGATCATCATCGCGTAAGTTCAAATCATCCACACCTTACGCAGCAGCACCGGGTCCCTCGTGGTCGCCCGTGACGCCGTTGGACACGGGGAGATCCTGCGAGTACTGCTCCCAGTTCTGCAAGATTGATGCGATCTTGGGCGAGTTGGTGAGCTTGTACACGTCCTCAAAGTACTCCTTGGTGATCGCGAAGGGCTTCGCAGTCACGTTGGGGATGTACTTGCCAACGAGCTTGGCAGGGTCGATCGTCGTCTTGTTGATCTTCTTGAGAAGGAACGATCTGAAAGGCTTGACACCGGACCGCAGGAAAGTCGAGTGGAAGGGCACGTCGATTCCGCGGAGAGGAATGGTGGCGAAGCCACGCTGGAGCTCAAGGGGCGTAGGCTTCTTGAGGGTAGCCTCCGCGCAGCCCTTGATGATGTCCTTCAGGGCGCCCTTGGCCTCCTCGAGGTTGGCCCGCATCTCCTCAATGTCGATCTTCTGCTGCTTGAGGAAGTTGGTGACGCCGGTGAGGGTGTCGAGAGCACGCAGGTCACCAGCAGCGACGTACTGCATGTTGGCGATGTTGTAGTTGACAATCTCCAGGAGCCAGCCAGTCTCCTCGGCAATGCTGTTGACGATGAACTGGAGAGCCTCCTCGTTGAACGTCTTGGAGATTCTGCTGGGGTTGATGGCGCACATGGAGTAGTTGGAACGGCCGGCGGCGTCACGCTCAACAGCAACCTGCATGGTCAAGCCACGGTAGAACACGACCGACACCAAGCTCTCAATGGGCATGACCTCGGCCAAGGCAGCGAGGGCAGAGTATTCACCCAGGGAGTGACCGGCGAAGGTGCAGTCCCGGGGAACAAGTCCGCGAGAGCGCATGTCCTCGAAGCTGGCCTTCTCCATGAGGGTAAGGGCAGGCTGGGTGAACTGAGTGGCCGACAGCAGACCGGTAGGGGACCGGTAGGTGTACGAGGTGGTCTTCTCGTCAATCTCCTTGAAGATACGCTCCGACTTGATGGATCCATCGGCAGCAACGGTCTCGAAGGTCATGGCCATGTAGTTCTGGCGGATGGCCTTGCCACGAGGTCCACCGAAGTGGACGGTGAGCTCCTTGGGGTTGTTCTTGACAATGTTGGTGATTGAGAAGCCTGCAACGTGTTAGTGTATGTTCAACAGTAGATCGTAGCGTCAAGAATAACCTACCGTAGTTGTCCAACAGGTACTTGTCGGCACGGTCCCAGACCTCCTTGGCGACGGGGCTGCTGGCATAAAGTTCCATACCCATGCCCTGCTCCTGAGAACCTTGACCAGTGAAGACGTAGGCAGTGACGGGCTGCTCGACCTCGGCCTCACCGAGAAGGACCTTCTCTTCGGTCTCCTTGTTGCTGGCCTCGACCTTGATGATCTTGCGACCACCAACCATACCAACGTGCTGAAGCTTGACATCAAGGTCATCGTTAGGCAGAACCATGCCAACAAGAGAAGCGTGGAAGCTGCGGACGCGACCGATGTTGTTCTCGGCAGCCCAGGTCTCGACCAAGCTGCGCACGGCGGCACTGGAGTACATGCCGTGGGTGATGGTCCCGGGCAGGTTGGCGTAGTTGGCGAAGACGCGAGAGACGTGGATGGGGTTAAAGTCACCAGAGACACGAGCGTAGTTCTCGTTGGTGGCAGGGGCACGGAGCTGCAGGGGAGTGCGGCCGCTGAGAGGAATGGGGTTCTCGAAGTGGAGGGGCTGGTCCAGAGGAGTACCGTTGCGCTCAAGGTAATCAACGACGGGGTTGCCGTTAGACTGGCCGGCCTCGTAGTCGACGCTGGCGATCTGGATGACCTCCTTGGTAGGCAGCTCCAAGAGGACCTGGCCCTGGGTGGCGACACTGCTGAAGACGTTCTTAGTCTTGTAGCGGAGGAAGCTCTGCAGGCGGAAAGTGAGGGTCTGGCCGAGCAGGTCGAGGTCGCGGGGCATGTCGTCAGTGTTGAACCACTGCTTGGACTTGAGGACGGCGACATCCTTGCTGGTGGCGAGGTGAAGCTGGATGGGCGTCTCGATCTTGCGCTGGAAGGTGTTCTCGTAGTCGGTGTAGGCGCCGCGGTACAGGAACTGGGAGGTGACGTCCATGACGGCCTCGCCATCGCGGTAGATGGTACCGCAAACCTCAACCATCTTACCAGACTCCTGGTTGATGACGGCGTTGATCTGGGCGGTGGTGGAGACCTCGTCGCCCTTCTGGAGAGGCTGGGCACCGGGCTTCATGCGGAACTCGTTGGACAGGTGAACAAGCTTCAGCAGATCACCATCGATGGTGCGGGGGAAGATGGGCTTGGTAATAGCCTTCCAGCCAACAACGATGGCAAAGTCCATGGGGGCGTAGACGGTCTTGCCAGGGCGCTCGACGAAAGCCTCGCCAGTGTTGCCAACGGCGTGAACGAAGTCGTTGATGTCCTCACCGGTGATGGTAGCCTTGCCACCGTCAAACTTGCTGGCGACATCGGCATCGAGGTCAAGAGTCTCGTCGCCGAACCACGCACGCCAGTAGAACTCCTTGATGCGGTCGTTGCGGCCCTCCATCACCTCGTGAAGAGGGGCGTAGCCAGCCTCAGGGTGGTAGGTGAACTTGAGAGGCAGGGCAACGGGCTTGCCGAGCGCGGTGGTGTCCTTGATCATGTTGACGACAACCTCGTTGGTGCCCTCGAGCTTGACTTCGATGACCTCAACGTAGTGGTTGTGGCGAGGCTGCTCCTTGACGACGATCTTGGTCTTCTTCGGGTCCTTGGGGTAGTGGATCTCAACGAAGAGGCCACGGGCAGGGGCGAAGATGCGCTTGATGGGGTTGGTCTGGAACTTCTGACCCTGCACAACAACCTCAGAGGTGAGGAGAGCATGGCGCCAGCTGCGGTCAGGACCGGCAAGGAGAGACAGCCAGGCATCGAGACTGGGCAGGGTGGCGTTGGGCGCAGTGGACAGGCGGTAGGTGTTCTTGTGCGCATCATCGTAGGAGACAGTAAGGCCCTCGACGTCCTCAACAGGGACGTCGGTCTCGATCAACTTGCCACCGAAGTACTCGATGGTAGGGATGGACTTGGCGTCTCCCTTGTAGAGATCGCGGGTCAAGTACTGGACGTGAGTCTTGTGGATGCCGTCCAAAATGTCCTTGATAGGCTCGTCAATGACCTTGGAGTACTTGACGGCGGTGGGACCCTGAAGAATACAGACACGTCCAACATCCTGGCCGGGAACGGCGTCGAGGTCCTCAGACTGCCAGAGGGAGTCCTTCTTGAAGTAGAAGTCGAAGTTCTCGTCGAAGCAGGGGATGAAGGGAACAGGCTTCTGGAAGGGGAACATGCAGAGCATCAAGAAGTGCTGGACATCCTGGGCGTTGATG